TCATCCCGCAGTGTAGACAGTGGTGACCAGTGAGGTCATCCCTCAGTCTCTAACAATGACGGTGGTGACCAGTGAGGTCATCCCGCAGTGTAGACAGTGGCGACCAGTGAGGTCATCCCGCAGTGTCTAATGCAATGGTGGTGACCAGTGAGGTCATCCCACAGTGTCTAACAATGACGGTGGTGACCAGTTGACCAGTAAGGTTCACCAGTGTGTGAACACTGTGCACACTGCCAAGAGCAACAGTTTCCAATCTTACACTTCTGTGACCACGCCTGCCCTGCCCATGTGGGTGCTCCTTGCTGCCTCGGGCTGTTTTCTGAAGTCTGACTGCATGTTTTTCTGTGTTTCCGCTTTATGCTTCTAAAGGCCTTTCATCTTTCCAGCTAGAAAAGACAATTTCTCCTCCCAACCAGCCAGAGAGCCACTTCTTCTACCTCATCTCCCCATGTCTTAAAGTCTCCATTAAACTCTAGAACAGACAATGTTTCATAAGAGAAAGTCATTAAAAGCCCTTAGATGTTTCTTCCCTCTCCCTCTCCCCAACACCACACACACACACACACACCCTACCCAGTGATAAAAATCATCACCCACAGTGGCTAACCAGGTGGGGCAGTACATAACTGGAAACCTAACGCTTACAAAAAGAGACACCAAGATCCTGAGTTCAAGGCCATGCACAGCTAACAAACAAGATACTAGGGTAGCAACTATGACCAGGGGCTCCATTTTAGGAAAATGGCCAGTAAGCTCAGGGGATGTCAATCATGTGCACAAGACTTCCCAGGCATTACTCCTGGGAAACTGTGACAGCTAATGCCGTGTAACAGTTCATAAACCCCGGGCACTGCTCCTAGGGTCACACAGGGCTTGTTGGCTGCTCTCTTGGGAGAACAAGAACCCAGCAATGCCCAGTCACGGTGGTCACATCTGTGGTCCTGGCACTTGGGAGGTAAATGCAAGAGGATAAAAAGGTTCAAGGCCAGGCTGAGCTACACAGGAAGTTCAACATGAGCCTGAATTAGGTGAGACCATCTCAAAAGCAAGTAAAAATGGTGGGGATGGGACAAGGCTCCATCCCAGCCATCTTGCCTGATCCCAGACAGACTCCTGTCCTCACGTTCCACGTGAAAGACGGCAGGATGGCATGTGTCTTCAGATCCTTTGTCAACAACGGCAGCTACTGGGCCTTAGGGAGAAACACTCTCCCTCTGCCCCATGTTTTCAGCTGCTGCCTGCTGTCCTGTACCTCCCACACAGAACATCAACATGAAGAATGTGACCCCAAGTATCCAGGTGCATACTTTTGAGATCTGAATTTGAAATAATCAAGAAATAGTAAGCCACACCACATTCTGGTCAAGAAAAAAAAAAAGAAAAAAAAGAGCATGGATTTCATATCCTGTCAGGCGTAACAATACCAGTGACGATAACATCAGAAATCCAACTTGTATAAGAGACACCAAAGAAGAATCTATAAAAATGACAGCGAGTGAAACACAGTTATCTTCAACCAAGAGAAGAGGCACCGTGCTGCAACAAGGTAGCAAAGCAAGCCCCTCCCCGACCGCAGAGACGACTCACTTGTTTCACATTCTCAGCTAAGAAGACAATGTAGACGCTGCAGAATCCCAGCTGCGTGATCACCAGAAAAAAGTCGACCACGCTCCTGAAAACAGTCACGGAAAGAAGCGTCACTGGGGGTTCTAGCCAGGCAGCAGGCCTCATTTCTCATTTAGCTATTCTAAAACATTTTATAATAGCATTTCTTCTTTTTCTTCCTAAGATCATGACCACTAGATATTTGTCTCCTGTGAAGACCACGTCAGTCAGTAAGGCGCCAGACATGACAGTGAACGTACACTTCACTCGGTTCAAAGGCAAAGATTTTTACATCACTTTACTTCTGCGATTCTGCTGTGTAAGAACAGCTGCTTGTAAAATGATTCCACAGAACTATGTTCGGGCTTGGGGTGTGGCTCACGATGGAGCCTAGTGTATCCAAGGACCTCCATTCGAGCATCAGCACTGGAGAAGAATTCATGTCTGGACTACACCATCCCCTCTGCTTCTCAAGACTGCCCTCACGCCAGCTCAGTGTATTTCCACCCTTCCAGACTCCTGGCATTTGCACAAAAGGGAAGCACATTTGCTACTTCCTAAACCAGTAAGAATGCAGAATGCAAGAGGACTGGAAGCATCTTTGGTAAATTTTCTCTGTGGTTATTTTATAAGAAGATGCTCTAGAAAGTTCTAAAACACAAAACAGTTATGTAGAAAGAGGGAGCAATTATTGCCAGACGTCATCTGGACGTGGCAGGCCCCAGGTACAACATCGTGCACGCTGGTCTTGGAGCAAGAGAGAGTACAGTGTCAGACTGACTGATTGGTGACTTATAACTCCTGTCAACGGCCATCACCATCATAAAACAGCCAACAGGCAGAGACTAGAACCAGAGTCTTTTCCAACTGTAAGGACCACTTACTGCATTCCCACAACTCTGTCATACTTTGAGTTATGTCTTATTCAATGAAAACAGTTAAAATTAGCATAACTTCAGCACAGAGACATCAGAAACAAAGCCAGTGCTCACCGCCCCCACGCTGCCTGCCGCTGAAGACAACTCCACGGGCTGGCCTCCATGGCAAAACTCACAGTGTCACTGTACCCCAGTGTTGACTTCTTAAACCTGCAATTTAATGGCATACAACAGAGGGAAGCATTAAATTGGTCTATAAGACCATCCCATGAAAACAGCATCACATACAGAGATGTGTGAGCTCAGGATATACATTAGCAGGTCTGTTTGCAAAGAGCAAATAAATATCTGTGTGCCCACGAACGTGAGTGAAGCAATTTCAAAATATCATCTGCCCTGTTGCAGGCATACGAAGTTTTATTTGCTGCTGTAGTTTTCCTATCTGTAGAGTTCAGACAGCTTTGTATTGGTGCTTCATTGATTTAAATACTTCAAGCACCTAAACACACCAAGTCTACGGCACATCCATAGATGGACACCCTGTGACAGCACCATGTAACAGTTCCAGAGACACGGACTCACGCAATCTCCAGAATCTCCGTGAGGCCAGTGTCACTCTCTGTTCCCCACTCCATGTCTTTTTTAGAGTGTGCATCATTATTTAAACAACGTACATGATACAAACAGTTTCGAGAACATTTAATTACAATGCTGGGGCCAGACCACTGGTTTGCTATAACATGAAGCATTTTTAAAGGCCGATTTATTGTCCAGTATAACACTTGATGATATAGAACTAAAAGGGAATCTTATTTTTCTAAGCTCTGCCCCAAACTTAATCACCAATGAACTGAAGACCCAGAGCCCTCATGGCGAGTGCACAGCCATGAATACCAGAAATGCCCATCCTCCCCCGCCCCGCCCCGTTAGAACACCTTTTGAATGTCTACAGTCACAATGACTCAGCAGCTAAAGGACTTGTCACAAAAGCCCCCAACAGCGCGGGTTCAAGCCGGGAAAGGGGAGGAAAGTACCGACTGCACAGTGTCCTCTCACGTCCCCATGTTCACTGTGTCATACAAGTCCTACACACATATATCACATATACACAGACAATATCCAACATGAGGAAAGAAAGGACAGGCATCCCTTCTTACCCACAAGGTCCTCGTGTGTGGGTTAACTAACTGCACACGGAAAATTCATGAAAAATCATGTCTGTGATATTTACATACACAACTTTAATTCTTCTTGTCATTTGGTGAACACTTTAGAGTAATAATGTGCATAGCACTGACACTGTATTAAAAATGATTACAGCATCTGGAAGGTTGTACATCATCTTCTGTGAGGGACGTGAGCACTTGCAGGTTTCCATGGGGATCCTGGAACCAGTTCTCTAAGAACACCAAGGGATGACTATGGACAGACGCTGACCACATTAACTGCAGAAAATGCTGGCCTGTGCCATGTCCTCCGCATTAGCTGCAGAAAATGCTGGCCTGTGCCATGGTTCTCCACATTAGCTGCAGAAAATGCTGGCCTGTGTCATGTCATCCGCATTAACTGCAGAAAATGCTGGTCTGTGTCATGGTAATTATTAGCTGTATCAGGCAGCAGAAGAAAACAACCTCCAGACGCAAAGCACAATAGATACATGAGACAATGATGCTCTAAGCAAATAGAAGCTTTACAATGAATCAAATCAACTTAATGAGTCCACATTTACCTCTGACATAGAAAGTGACTGCAACGTACCAATATGTGCATACAGTGGACGGAAATAATTCCTATAAACACAAGGCTGATTGGTCCAAGCTGTGGAGAAGAAAACATGGAAGACTGAAATATTCATTTTTAAAAAAGTGAGTGAGCTTTTAAGCAATGAGTCAATGGCCAATTCATTTACAATGAGAAAACTGTTAAATCCATTGATTAAATTGCCATAGGCATGAGGAAAATTAGTAATTTTAACACAGAGACTTTTTCAGGTAATATTTTAGAACGTGATGCTATCTTGCAGACTTGATGACTAAAGCCTGGGTTACTGAGTACAGACACTCAGCAAGGAATACAGAATACGATGTCACATCCAGCGCCGGAGGACAAATCTATGGAATCAGTGTCCACCTCTGTAGTACACACTTACATCCCTGTCTACACACACACACACACACACAAAGATCTTTAACCTTCTACAGATTGCGCTTAGAGAACCCACATATGTGTCAAGGACAGCACTTAGAGGATAGCTGTTTCAAACAGTTCATGACAAGTTTCCAGTGTGTGCTCTCCAGACTCAAGGGATGCCTGGATCAGGGTGGGTAAATGACTCAAAGGGATGCCTGGATCAGGGTGGGTAGCAGATTCAAGGGATGCCTGGATCAGGGAGGGCAGCAGACTCAAAGGGATGCCTGGATCAGGGTGGGTAGCAGACTCAAA